AGTCCTCCAAACCTGACAAGATATCCGGTGTGATCTTTGGCTTTACACCCCATGTTGAACGAGGACTTCTAGCAGTTCCAAAGCAGCGAATATTTCGTTGGATTCGATATACAGTGGCCAGACTGCACTCAATGGTCCGCGCAATCTGAGCAGGCATATAACCATCATTTAGAAGGCGTACGATCTCATTGGTGGTAAATTCGCTGAGCTGGGGGGGCATATTGGCAGATTTGATGATAAAGGTGCGTATTTGAATGGATTGGATGATATTTGAATGATTTTAGAGATACGTGGATATTTTGGTTATTTCTGCGGTGTTTTGCTACTATTTTTCAGGGGGTGGCAGAAAATTCTGTTTTCGCAAGCTTTACGTCCGCCACAATAGCGCAGCCAACGGCAATTCGACACTGTACGAAATTTATGCCCTGCAATCTACAGGAGGAACTGGGAGCAATTGAGTAAGTATGAACAAATATAATATGGTAATGAAGCATTATAGGATGTATGTCTCATATATAACTTGGGAATGTTATGGTGGCGCGTTTGAATTTGTCTATGGCTCCCGAATACAACCTGCACAATGACAACGAGGGGAACCACCAATCAGGCTACAATTCCCGAGAGAAATATCCGTAAGGAGCATCCGGAGGCTGTGGAAGATCAAATGATAAAGAAAGGAAATTGATTGGACGTTCAATCCATCTCTATTCAATGTACATATGCAAAGCATTTATTCCCGCCCGGTTATCTTAATCGCCACTATCAAATGGATCATCCCCTTCAGACGAACATTAAAAAGAAAGGATCCTTCTCCTGCGTTTAGTGCTTCTCCTCAGGCTTGAGCGGCTTCGCGGTTGGGTTGCGGGGATCGTTCTTGAACTCAGGGGCTGTAAATGTGAGATAAATACTCAGTACACATGCTCCTCCATGACTCTCCGCAATTAATTCGCGCCACTGATCCTTTATCTGGAGACAAGAGGCCGAACATTGAATGTGGCGACAAGGTGGTCACTTACTTTCCATCATAACGTTCGCGAATCCATTGACACCGTAAAGGATAATGAGGCCTAGGATCATGAATCTCGGTTAGTAATTTAACTTCGCATCATTCTTCCATTTTCTTCCATTCGTTATGAGAAGCTCTTCGAGGAATGGGAGACACGAAGGGCGTCTAATGAGGAAGCTAATGCGGCATACCGGCAGCGAAGAAAGGAAGCATTGGCCGGGCTATAGGAGAGAAATTTCGGATCAGCATGAGTTACGATTGGGTTGATCGGGATATCTATGGGTTGGAGTATTTGACATACCGACTGGCGCCGCGTATTTTCGTCCTAGTAGAGACATGGTTGAAGGCTGTGTGGGTGAGGGAGAGAGGGCCTGATGTGCGCCAGCTGGTGGGTGGGATAGAGGGCTGATACGGTGATGCTTGAGGTGTTTGTTCTGGGGTTGTTGGCGAGAGGTTATCTCAGTAAAACTCAGCCACTCCACTTCGAGCTAACCCGATCCGAACTACTGCCAAGTCCTGCTAACATCTGAGCCAATCAACTGTCAAGGGGCTTACATTAAACCTAAATGGGACATCCTCAGCAAACTCTTCGCGGAGCGTCTGAGAAAAAACGGTTCCAGTTTGTTAGCAACACGGGAACGATTTGCTCCAACCATAACGTTTGAGATAGAATCACTGTACAACCTCACTTATAGATCATTTCTCTACCACCTTGAAGGGTTAATTTTCCAATTTCCTATCAATTGAACTAATTTTTATTCAAAAATACATATATTGTGAGTATGAAGTATCGCGTTGAAAACTGCTACTCTGATTTTGAACACGGGAACGATTTGCTAATTTTTCAACCATGATCATGTCTAGTCACTCAATGCCTTGATCTTGTCATCAAAACACATATCTGGTCATCAGTAGCTCTAGTCAAAGCACTGAGTGTATTTTCTGATGACTTCTGACATCTTTTGATGGTGTCCAACAACTTCTGGCAACTTCCGTCAACTTCACATAACTCTTGACCACTTCACACAGCACATCAACTTCTGACAACATCTGGGATCTTTCAACAACTTCTGAACCAATCACATAACACCTCTTTTTGACAGCTGGGTCAGACAACTCTGTTGAATATGGCTAAGGGGGATTGAAAAAAACGCAAAAGTCAGCAACAACAGCGGCTTCAAAAGCTATCATTAAAGCAAATACTTTCCATGAAAATTGAAGACATGCCACAAGTTGTTATGAGCTACACTGAACCCGAAAGTATCGACAAGCAACAGGATGTTATTGAGCATTGTCTTCGACGAATCCTTCAAAGCCCGCGTTCAGATCCTAAGTGCAATCTTCAGCCACACATAGAACAAGTCCGTATACTCCGACGCATGATATATGGATATGGCGACACTTTATTCATTGCCAGAACTGGCTATGGAAAGAGTCTTATTCTTCAATTCTATACAATTCTGACAGAGAAGATAACCATTCAACTGATTCCTCTAAACAAGCTTGGTGATCAGCAGACAAGTGATATAGCTCAGTTTCCCTCTACCAATCCTTGTCTGATCAGTGCCAACAATCTCCAGGGAGAAGAGCACTTACTTAAACGTATCCAACAGTGTGAATATACACATATCTTACTCAGTCCAGAGCAAGCACTTTCCAAGCATAATCATTGCCTGCCACACCAGGTGCATCAATGATCTCTTTCAGTGTTAAAAGTCTTGTGGAATCATGCATGATCTGAGTCAGACCAGATTCTGGAATTGCAGGGGAAATAACCACTGCAGCAGTAGTCACTGCAGCCATGTAATCATTATGCCCAATCATCTCATCTCATACAGTCTCTTTGAAGTTCATATTGTCATAGACTATAACGGCTTGAGGATCTTTGACAAGCTGCCGAAGTTTCATCTAATGATAAGAATTAGTCAAATGATTGGCTCAGAAGTTAACAGAAGTGGAAAGAACATGTCAGAAAAGAACAGAGATTATCAGTTTTTACTAAAAGTTTGAAAAATTAGATAGAAATATTAATAAATTAAGAATATCAACTCATACCTTCTTCTGTTTAGCAATTTCTGTCATCAATTTATTTCCCATCACATAGCTGAGACAGAGTTCAAAGCTGGAAATCGTTTCTATCACTCATTGTTTTACTCTTGAGCTATGAAAATATGCAGAGAGAATAGAGCTGAAGAAGTTTGAATTCTTCAAGGAATAAGAGTGGCATATAATATTCATAATAACAAACAGTCGTTTGATAGCTGTTGTTTCATCTGAGGCCTATTCATAGCTCTTTCGATTTGCATGTTTATTCTTTAGAACAGAAGTAAGCAGTTTAAACCAGGTTGATGCATCAGTCCGGATGGTTTCAAAAGCAGCCTGGAAATCAATGGTATCAAGATCAACACCATGGTTGAATTTTGCAAAGTATGGAGTATTGATAAGGTGTTTCAGCTCCTGTTTAAGCAAGGCAATATAATGGTGATGATCATGAAATGCTTCTGACTTTGAGAGTGCTGAATATAGTGCATTCCGCCGCTTTGCAGGAGTACAGTATCGTTTATGAGTTAAGATATCAGAACTCTGAATCCAAGCATCTATAAAAGCTTCCATTCCTCAACCATTTCGCTGTAATGCTTTGACAACATGAGATAATTTTGAACGTTTTTTCTGCTGGTTATGAGGCATAGTAGGCAGGCGCTGTGGGCCACGGGTGTTTGGTTGTGAACAAGCTGGTGGGGTATTGATACCAGTGGTCTCGAATTCTGAAGAAGTATCAATAGATTCAAGGTCTGTTAAATCACTATCTGATGTCTCATATCCATCATCTAGATCATTGAGAGAGTGTAGTGGTTGTTGAGAGGATTCATCTTCAAGTGATGAAGGATATTGGTTGAACCGCGCCTGATGTTGAGTGTCTTGAGATTCAAAAGACACGGTCAATGGTTGTGGCATGATGAGAAGAGGTAGCAAGTTGCAAAATAGCAGAGATGATAGTGAGATGGCTAAGGATTCAAAAAATATCAATTTGATGATGATCAGATAGATATTTAAGGTAGATGTATGATTCTGAAGTCAACTGAATATTTTGTATGAGCAGGTTTGATTTTCCACAGACGATGGAACCGTTTCTTCTCAGACTCTCTACGAGATATTATGTTGTGAGCATGTGTGGAGTAATTGATTGGTCCAGAAGTTAGCAGGACTTGGCAGAAGTCTAAAGAAGTTTAGTTGATCGCACTAATCTGAAAATATCGAGAAAAGAGGCTGAGCATGCTGAGATAAGCGAGAGGCAGCAGAGAAATGTATATATCACGTGATATAGGTTGCTTTAAATCAATATTTACAACTGCTTCGATACATTGTTGACGATGTTCCGGCAAGGATAATGATAGACGAGAGATGGCGTCCTCACTCTCCTCTTCTGTATCTTCCCTACAGATGTCCCTCCAATTACTAGAGTCTTCAATCAATATTCTCGACGAGGGGGTAAATGACTTCCCGCGCATTTGCAAAGTGCTCCAAACCACACGGGTAAGATCGCCTCGCGTTATCTCCGACTGCTAATAATCTTCCCAAAACAACAATCTAATAACAGTAACAATATTCAGCACTTCGAACTCCTTCCCGAGCCAACAGTCCGTGAAGCTCAGAAGGCCATTCATGATGAAATTAATCCAAGCATCGCACACCTTCTCTCCCTGGCCTCTAACCATATTGACAAGCTATCCCGCCGCGAACAATCACTCAAAGCTAAATTCGAGTTGCAGCAGGGTAGATTATCTCACGACGATGATGATGATGGCGACGATAACAATAACAATAACCCATTCGCTTCCCGACGAAGGAACAACTCGCAGCAGGCGAGAAAGCCGCTGTCGACAGGGAAGAATGTGATGGAGACAGCCGCGACGGCACGAGCGGCGGAACTGCGCAAGTTGGTGCAGAAAAAAGAGCGTCTACGGTATACAGTTGAGAGATTGGAGTTGCAGTCGAAGCAGAGGGAGAGGCAGTTGAGGAAAAGTATGGCGGCGCAGTGAAGCGACTCCGTTGCTGATCGAGAGAAAAAGGATCTGTTGGATGCAACCAAGCGCACAATGTGTTACGCTCAACTTATATTATGTGCGGGAGAGAAATGAGTCGTATAGTTTACGATATTATGTTCAATACGTCGGTAGGAAATACTCCCACGTTGATGGATCCTACGACGTCGACCTCATATATTGAGGAGGGAGAAGATTGGTTTACCTTTCATGCGTATTCAAGCAGTTGTTGCACCATATATACATTCATCGGTCTAGCCGCTATGAAGGCCGTGTGGCTAATGGGAGAACAGCAGTATCGGGACAGACGGACGGCTGACGGTCGGTGATGTCGGAGATGTCCTTGAAATTAACTATCTAAATTGCTATGACAAAACCGAGCCTGTTCGTCCTGGCTCGAGCAGCTCCTATTTTCCACAGACGAAGTCTGGGGTGAATAAGGACTTCATATCTTAATTAAAGATAGCCATTCGGCTATATGACTACCGATACTCACTGTTGATCTTCACTTAACAACGTACTGAAGATATGGATTGGATGGCTGTTCCCTGCTTTGTTTGCCGGGGTGGTAGAGGAGGAAATATGGGGGAGGATTTAAACAACTTACAAAAGTTTGGGCGCGAGGAGGCAGAGCGTGGTTGCAGATGATCAAATTGAGAATTCTAGGAGCATTGGTTTGATCTCAGATCTGTATAAATTATTTCGATGCAACGCAGATCGAGCGTACTCTCCATGGTATCGTATACGTACTACTGTACATGCGCTCGTTTTATAAAGCATTCTAGCTGAGAGAAGATTCCACGCCATGACCCAAGTCCCCCTACAACAAAAAAAAGCCCTGCCCCCAATCTAAGAAAGGAGAGAGCTAGTACTCTATCTATTATACATACGTGATATGGTCCAGAAAAAATGCGCAAAACAAACATTCTAGATCGGATCCGGAAGTCGTCCTATTTTCCTCGATCCCACATCTGTAGATTGAAATTTCAAACGCCGCCCGCCAATGCCCGTCCAGTAACACAGTCCGTTCCGAATCGATCCATCCCACACTGTTCTTCCTGCGAAACGTGAAACTACATGCCTTCAAAATCGTTAATCCGCCTCGCCTTCCTTTCCTTCCGTACCTCCATCTTCTTCACCCAAGCCGGAACTTTCTTCCGCTTCTCCGGCTTCCTACTACTTCGCTCCCTGCGCCCAGATGGATCCAGCCGACCCATCGCCTCCCGAAGCTCGTTCATTCCTCGATCCTCCCCCTCTCCTTCCTCCATTACCTCCCCAGAAGCACCGGAAGTGCCAAGTTGATATTCCTCATCCGCCATATCGTCAGCCAACGATTGCTTGCGCACGCGTCTCTCAAACTTCTTACCACCATTTTGATCATCGACGAAGCCAAGCTTGATGTTGCGTGGTGAGCGCGACTTGGCACCCAATGCCCATAGATCGCCCCAAGCGGACTTACGGGCGTCACGGTAGGCCTGTTTGCTAAACGAGCGTGGGACCGTCCACCGCTCAATCTTGCCTGCGGGAGTGCAGAGGTCTAGCGTGGAATGGCCATGGCGCTTCAGCGGTGGGAGGATCAGTCGTGGGAGGGAGAGGGGGTGGAATGGGATTGTCTCCCCTGCAGCGTTACCTTCGACGTTGCCCCCATCGAATGGGATGTCTTCGAATCCAGCAAAAGCCGCATCGGTTGCTCGTTGGCCCTGTATGATGCCGTGCGTCTCTCTCATATCAGTACCTCGTTGCACCGCGACGTAGCTGAATTTTGCGTCTTCGTGGTTCGTGTCTTTGGCGCCCTTGATCCGTTGTAGATACGGGGGCCGGATATAGCGTTGTTGGAAATGGCAAAAATCTTTGCGCGCGATTGACTTCCCTGGATTTGTATACATAGGGCACTTGGCGTGGGTGGTGCAAGGAGCTATGATCATCCCCTTTCCCTTCTGAAAAAATCTCTCGGAGTCAGGAGATTGAGTTGGATTTTCATACTCAGTTGATCCGGGCGACGCTATCAATCGCTCAAGAATCATTTCGCGGGCACCCGCAATAGCCTCGAATCCCCGTTGAATGCCTTTTTCAAGAAGGATAAGAACCCCTCCATCCGGATTGAGAAGCGACCATAAATTTTCCACATGCTCCTTCCGGTGATAATCCTCACGTATTGGCCATATCGTATGTGGGGCGATGATAACATCGAACTGCTTGCGCTGTGGAGGAGGCCGTTCGTCAGCTGTTGTCGACTGGTCGCGCAAGTGCACATAGTCAGGCAAGCGGGGAAGGAATGTAGTGTTCTCCAACAGCTGGCTCGCTCTATGTCGCAACGCGTTGGATCCTGTTACAACTGTCGACCTCCCGAACGGGATAGGGCTGCCTGGTGGCCTGTTGGGGGACATTAAGGACCATTCAGCCTTCAACACTTCCCTCCAGGCTAGAATTCCTGCTCCACCTCCTCCGACATCAAGAACCCTCGGGCCATCCTTTTGAGCCATCAAATCGCGAAGCCATTTCGAGCCTAGCCGTTTGCGCACTTCGACAAGAACAGGAAGTACGGAAGCGTATATACCAGGGTAGAGGACCGCAAGGAAAGCATGACTTTCTATCTCTGACATGATACGCTGTCCCGCATCGAGCTGGATAGGGGTTGGAGGGATGTTCTTGGGAGGGGTAGACGTGGAGTAGGGCAAATTTGCCCCACCAAACAGTCTGTGTGCAGTTTCTGCGAGGTGTTTGTTGGAGTAAGCTGAAAGCATCCGGGATATCGGTTTCGTCATGCTGTCATAAGGCAGTAACAAGGTTTTGGTTCCGGTTGTGAATTTCCCCTCCGTGGTAAGCGGATGCGTTCGCGGACCACTGCTATCAGCATGATCATCTTCAGAAACCACCTCTGAATCAGTAAATGGTACAACTTCCCCTCCTACCATTTTTGCTATCGAGTTTGCGCGATCCTCCAGGGACATTTCGCTGTAATCCACTTCGATTTCGGTGTTATTTTCGTATTCCGTAGTCATTGCAAGACTATGCTCCGTCTCTTCCTCCACTGCTGTATTTGCGCTGGGTTGTTCGATCTCAACCCATCCTCCTTCACCGTCATCTCGAAATAGCTGGTCTGGTTCCGGCCCATCCTCAACGGTGGTGGCAGCGTCTTCCATAGGTAGCGGTTCGCCATATAATGTTTTATACAATTGCATCTCTTCTTCACTTAACATATTTTCCGGAAGAGAATCACGGAATTGCTGCCGGACCCTCACGACCTTGGCAGTCAACTCTGCTTCATTTCGATGACCGACAATAGTGGTAACAGTATCCACCAGGTCGAGGTCTTCGGAGTAAACAAGGTGAGGGAATGCGTCAACAAGGTCCAGTTCTTGTAAGCTTTGTACAATGTCATCCTCCGCTTGATATATATTTTCGATTACAGCATATAAAGCCTCTTTTGTTGGCTTCGCAGCGAGGTCCTCGTTGGTAGCGGCGGCAGCGGCAGCGGCAGCGGTGGAGGTAAATCTTTGTTGAGTAACATTTTTTTCTTTTCGGACTGGTGCCTGGTATGGCCTTTGTATAATAGTAGTAGTTAGAGATCGACTGGAAGGGAAATGGTGGTGATTCGTCCTGCGAACGTGCGATGTGAATTGTTTCTTATGAGAAGCTTGAAGCACTTGCAGAGAGAAGGGCTGGACCCAAGCTTGAGAACATGCTGTGCAAACGGTCCTCGACGACCGTTTGGAAAGCATAGCTTGGCTGGCGCAACGGCAGTCTCAGCTACGAAAATTGAAATAAAATGAAGAACAGAAAAAATGATAACTGAGTATTTCGCAAGAATCTCGATCTCCGACGGTTGTTAAAGAAATTTTGGCACGAATCACGTGGTAAATTATATAATATTGATTTGAAAACCTTTGATTGGCTGGTGTTGTCCAGCCAATAGAAATCAAAGTTACAAGCCATGAACAAATCACTCATTATCCGTGTCGTCTTGCTCCATGACAACTGCGAGAGCGGTTTTCCACCTTGAAACTTCATGCCCGAGAGCTGTCAGCTTCGCCATGGCCGATAGCAGGCTCGGGTCCTGACTCTCTACTCTAGCCTTCTCCTTCACTTTAACCTCCTCCCCTTTCCAACTGAATACGTCTCCTGACTCGTCATGAATGGGATGTCGCGGTCCAAAGAGGCGGTCTCGCAGGGAGAATCCGCTGAGTGAAATCTCAGGTGCAAAGGATGTTGTTGGTGTGTCGCCAGGAGATATAGGGTCGAGTGTTCGTAGATTTAGAACTAGAGCAGCTTCGGAGATGGAAAGATGAAACGACATATAGGGCGGGAGTGGGGGGTTAAATGACTATTATCTCAACAAAATGCTCGTGAGTTAAAAAAATAAAAATAAAAAAATAAAAAGTGGGGGAATTGCTGGGAATACAAAAGGAAGAGAGGCTAAAACATACATTCTTATCCACGCTATCTTCGTTCCAGAGTTTTTTTGATTCTTCACCTTCCCCTTTCAACGTCAACCGAGCCTCACTGAGGTTATCATACAGCAATCGCAATTGGCCCTCTATGAAGCTGGCATTCATGGGATCACCAGTCCATGTGCTGACGTCTATCACATCGAGACTCTCGTTGATTAGGCGACGCACAAGCACAAGCTGACGAAGCGCTATCTCCGGCCCAGTAGCATCATCGGAAATTGTCAATCTTGTGGAATTAGACCCTTTGGGAGGGGTCAACGATTGTAAACGCAATTGGATGTCCTGGGATATAAACAAGCGTTTATTAGACAGGGTTGACTGGGGGGCTGTTTTATGTCCCCTCAAGTAGCCAAACGAATGTCGGAAACAATAAACATATCAAGAAACAATACCCACCCCTTTTACAATCTTAGTCCCGACCCTCGTTACAAACCCTTTCACATTTTCGGACCGCAACGAAGATAGAACAAGCGTAGAGCCTGGTTGTGAAGGTGCTAAAAGCGCCGCACACTCCTGAAGACCTTCCCGCAATGAGGCCAAAGATTCTTGCAGAGAGCCCAGGACCCATTTCAACTCTCGGGCCTACTAGTACGCGGAGAGTTAGCATTGGTAGCGAAAATGACAGGTAGATTGGTAGGGATGGTTTTGAGTTTACCAATGAGGCATCTTCCTCCTTCTTCAGTTGATCTGGCGGGAGTTGTGGATATGCCCACGTGGCCATAATTGGAGTACGCAATCAGAAAAGGGATCGAATCAAAAGCAGGTGTCAAAGTTGGCACCAACTAGATCCTTGACATTAGCAGCCTGAGCCGAGTATAAGAGCACTACAAGTAGACTCGTTGACGTGTACACCCACCGAACAAAAAACTCGAGTAGGAACCGGAGCAGGGCGGATAGTAGCGAGCACTATCCGCGAGCACCATCCGCGAACATCAACGACAAACAGCCCGGTATCGTATCGGTGTGGCGGCTTCCTCTGGCGGCGGACTGACAAACAAACCGACAGACCAACACCAGGACGTCATAGAAGCAGACACAAGCAGAGGCAGGTTTGTGCTGGGCAGTAAGGCCTTACTTAATCGGGGCGCGTGGCCCAGAGCCGACTCGCACCAGTCCCAATGCGGCTGAAGCTGGGCCGGAATAAGGTTTCGGGACTAGCCGCTTGCAGTTAGCGTGGCCGTGGGCCGAAGCTTGATCGGCAGCTTCCAGGGTTCCCGATGTCTTCTGCGCTTCCGCAGATCAAAGGGCTGGACCCATTATGTCATCGCGAACACTATTCGCAGGGAAGGCTTGCTGGGCCCCGGTCAACTCCCCCATTTGCTGCCCTGCTCTTTGCCTCTGAATCGCTTTGCAGATGCTGTCTTACCTTGTCTCGTATCCTCCTCCTCGATCTCTCCATCTGTTTCTTACAAGAATAGCACCTACCCTACCAAGTCGTGTTAGGATTATTTGCTCAAGAAATCAGGAAAGGAGACCAGAGACCACGGTCCTTGGGTTAGATCAAGGAATAGCCAACTTGCTTCGTTGGTTTGCTGGGTTTTCAAAAACAGCAGACTCTTCGACACTATGGGTGCAGGCAGTGCGTTCATACTCTGCTCCCCAATGCCAAAGCCAAGTTTCATGGAAGCCAGGTGCTAACGTTGGGTCTGCCAGGACCACTTATCGCCCTACTGGGCCTTTTGTTCACGGCTGGAGCCTTTATCCTCATGATGCTCACACTAATAGGCGGATCGCGGAATACCAACCCTCTCAATCGTACGTGGTTCCTCGAGGCCGATACTTCGAACATCCCTGGGGCACCAGAGACATCGAGATGGACCTTCTGGGGCGTGTGCGGTGTCTCCGATGGGAAAAATGACTGTCATGGCACTACAGCCGCCTTTCCTCTTGATCCGCCATCGTCGTGGAATTTCGACACTACCGACGGTGTGCCTCCTCAGTTTATCGGGTATTATATCCCTCTTCGTATCCAATGCTTCTCTGCGCTTGCACCTTATGTGCCCACGAGGCGCTATATGATTTAATGATGGAGAGAGACCATAACTATACATACATATATACATACATACATACATACATGAACAGCATAGAGGGTGTTCGCATAACTAACTAATAATAACAGAACTAGTCGATATTTCTATATCACACGGTTCATGTTCGCGTTTATGTTGATCGGCGTATTTTGGGTGGTTTTGTCGCTGTTCACTGGGTTGTTGGCTCTTTGCACGCGCATTGGGGCCTGGGTCTCCGCCTTCTTCGCCGTGCTCGGTCTTATTTTCCAGACTCTGACATCTTCTTTAATGACGTATGGTTCACTCTCCCGATACGAAATCTTTCTTCCCCATTTTGAACCCCAGACAAAACCAACCCTGTCGCGAAATGAACATGTTTTCCTCTTCAGGGGATACTGACTTATGTGTGTACCAACAGTGCCGGATATGTAAAGGGACGCAATAACTTCTCATCAAACGGCCAGCCGGCCAAAGTCGGGCCAAACGCATTTGCGTGGATGTGGACGGCAGTTGCACTCCTCTTCCTCTCCAGCTGTCTATATTGCGTATCTGGGACCGGAAGGTCGAAGCGACGGGCCAATGCTACCGCTAGTGGAGCTACGACGAGACATAAACCGAGAGGGTTCTTCAAATCTCAAGATACCCAGAGGGCTCCCACTGACGGCGCGGTTGATAAGGGTTACGCGTGAGGATGGAGGGTGCCAGGGCTCATATAGCCTTTTATCGAAATGATCTGGCTGATGAAGATGATGAAAGGGATGGAAGAAAGAAAGGATAAAAAAAAAAAAAAAAAAAAAAACTACTCTCGTGTTGAAAATACTTCATTTGGATTGGATTGGTTTAGCAAAGGATTCACCCCACCCTCACTTTTTATTTCATCGCATACATTCTATTTGTTGTTTAGCAGAGCTTAATTTCTGCGTTGGAAATGGGCATTCGTGTTGAACTCGCATCGCGTCCGCGTCCCCAATGCATTCGAAATCCTTTTCGTGTCTATCCTCAGAAAAAAAGTTACTTGCTGATCAATTGGAAACCAAGTTTATCAAAAAGGACTCTCGCTATCAAAATCTCAAGCACAGCCACAACCACAACCGCAAATTAAGCGTATGGCGTCCACTTAACTGGCTTATTACCTTTCACTTTTGAAGGTGTCGATTAAACGGGCTTTTTTTGCCTTCTAATTTCGCCGGAAGGGGTTTTGAGATGTGGTTATTTCCGGTAAACTATGAGGGATGTTGGTCTCTGGATTTTGTAATCACTTATTTACTTACTAGGGGAAAATATGTAACTTATTTTTAACGTCCTGAAAGGAAAGGTAAAAAAAAAAAAAAAAAAAAAAAAAAAGTTACCCAAGGAACAGGCTAACACATACATTATCTATTGCTCTAAATGCCTTTTTATTTATTATTAAAATGGATGCAAGGCGGGGTTATGGAGGGGGGAAGGGGGGATAGCCCGACGGAGTGAGCAACAGGAAACGAGGAGGAATTTGTGCATATCAGGCATATTTTATAACGCGAAACAGGAAGAAGAAAGAAAGAAAGAAAAACGAACCAACAAACCATTTATGTACTTCCATTCTCCACCGGCTTAGGCGCATCCACCAGAACCCGAACACCATCCTTTCCACCAACTTCCCGACCCATTATTTGGACAGCCAGCTGCTCGCTCACGCCTACCATCACCTCCACTTTCCCATTGGCCTTGACGCCCCTGATGGCAAATTCCGCAATAGGTTTCGAGACCTTCCAGACCACTTCTCGAATCTCCTCCTCCTCCTCCTCATCATCATCGTCATCATCGGAGTCGAAGTCTGAATCGACGTCCTCATTGTCGTTCTCGCCGCCTGCTTCTTTGGCGAGCTGCTTCCACTTGGGATCCGCTTTCGTAACCTTGATCTCGCGAATGCCTTCGCAGACACGGACGAGGACGTCGCCGCCGGCCTTGGGGACTGCGTATCGGGCAGTGCGTCGGGCGGGGAGGGCCGTCTCGGCATTGAGGAGCGGTTTGAAGATGGCGTGTGCGTCATCTGTTGCGGAGATGAGTTGGATGCCGATGGCTTTTTCGAGGTGGGGGGTGACGGTGACCATTGGGTGGGTCGATTGCTCGATGTCATCCTTTTCAAATTCTTCGATTAGGGAGGCTTGGATGGCCGCGCCTCGAGCGGACAGGTCGGATGGGTTGATGGCGGTTGGCGATGTGACTGGTGCAAGCACTGTTGTTGTGGCGGGGAAAAGAGATTGAACGAGCCGTGCGATCTTTGGGGTGTGGGATGTTCCTCCGCAGAGGATAGCCTGTTTTGGAATTGTGAGTTAGTTAGGAAGTCTCTTGAATAACTGGATGTTTTTCCAAGAGAGAGCAGCTAACCTCATCAATATCAAGGATGTCAAGATCAGCCTTTTTCACGGACTCTTCGATAAGCCGAGTAAAGTTTGCAAACACTTTGCCGGACAGAAGCTCATATCTTGTTCTGTTGACAGTAGAGCTGAAGTCAACTCCACTCGCAAGACTTTCTATGCTCAGAGTGGCATTGGTACCCAGACTTAAAGATTTCTTGGTTAGTTCCGCTTCTAATTTCAGTTTGGCCAAACTCCTAGCATTTTCCCTTGGGTCCACCTTATGCTTCTTTATGAACTCCTTGGAAAAATGATCAATCAAAACTTGGTCCAATTGGGCGCCTCCCAGCTCATAATCATGAGCAGTTGCAAGGATGGTGTACATTCCGCCCCGCGTTGCAATGACAGCAACGTCTGATCTCGTGCCTCCAAAATCAGCCACCACGACTAGCTTGTCCTTCACTACAGCCTCAGGGCGAGCGTCATATGCAAGTAGGAAAGCAACGGGCTCTGGGATAAATTGCAAAACTTCAATGCCAGC